AAGTCATTTAAAAAATGTTATGTTATGCAAAACTAATGTATTTTATATCAAGGTTTTTCCAATGTAAAAAAGAAAATAGAAAAATGTGTTTGAATGTATATGTGTTGTGAAAAACGAGTGACTTATTCTAATGGAACCATGATCTGTGAGAGGTGAATAACTCAATTGCAAAATCTGGATTTTGGGGCTTCTGACCATTTTTGGATAATTAAACATGCACTGGGTCAAATTGACCCACGAATATTATTGCTGTTACAAAAAACGAATATAACAGTTAAGCGTACTCCAATTTTGCAAAAAACGTGAATTCATATTTCGTGTGTACTCTTGACCTTAAAGGGTCCCTGGGTTTTTTAATGAATCAAATGTTGTTTATCACTGCCGTAATCATATTTATCCTACCTCATTAGCGAAATTATTCAAACTTTTTGGAACTATTTATTTTCACATTTTTGTCAAGAGCTACAGGACATGTATGCTACATGAAAAACGTGGAGTCATGCAACCGTGATTTGGTTTGTTGTATAGCCTAAAGATAGATTTGTACCTCTGGCGATAGCATTTATACTTCTAAAATCAGAAGATTCAAGATTCAAAGGCTTTATTGTCATATGCACAGTAGCTACAGTGTAGATCAGGCAATACAAATCTTAAGTCCCAGGTTCCTCAAATAATGCAACATAAATATATATAAGACATAAAACAAGGAAACAAATAAAAAAACAATAAAAATAGTGCAATAAGGAACAGAGCAGAAAATAAATAGTGCAAGAGAATGTTGCAAGACTAATATTCAAATAATGCAGAAGAAGTTAAATATATAAGTTAAAAAAAAATGGTGAGCTAAAAATATAATGTCAAATCAAATACTGTAAAGTGAAATAAAATATAGCTTATTGTAATAATAAATTCAAACGGATAAAGTTCTGATGAGATTATCCTTCTGAATAAAACCTGTTAAGTATCACAAACATGTTGCCTTGGCCACAAAGCTTATTTTCTTCAATATACCAAAATCCAATGGGGAATTCCCATTGCTTTTCTCTTTTTGCTCTTTATTACATCTACTAGACAAGGAAAATGCACACACTGTCACACACACGAACACACCCACACATTTACTCGTACACACCCTTTGATAAGACTGAAATAATTGATGAGTATGTTATCTTAGTTGCGAAATGTAATGAAGCTTCTCTGCGTGAGAGCATTTCTGTGGAACATGAATGTTGATTTTGAAACTTACATTGGATAAGATCCAAGCATTCTTTTACCCTCCTGTTACATTCAGGGTCAAATTGACCCGTTTGAAAGTTTGAAAATCTACGAAAAATACTTTCAAGTATTTTTTTTGTATGAAACTTCTTCTACTTACCTTAATTAGTGCAATAAACAAGTAAAATGAAAATGGTTCATGTCATGCATTTGGAACCCCCCCCCTACATGTCTATATCACAGAGATGGTATTCGGGTCAATCTGACCCGGCAGTGAAAGTGGAGGCTAAAAGGGGTCAGAAATGTACACACACACACACACACACACACACACACACACACACACACACACACACACACACACACACACACACACACACACACACACACACACACACACACACACACACACACACACACACACACACACACACACACACACACACACACATTTGGCTTGATTCTAAGTGAACAGGTCAATTTGACCCTGAACAGAAGAGGTGTCTCGTCTCTATTTATCAACATCAACCAATTGGAAAAAAAGTTGGAACATTTTAAAAGTCATTTAAAAAATGTTATGTTATGCAAAACTAATGTATTTTATATCAAGATTTTTCCAATGTAAAAAGGAAAATAGAAAAATGTGTTTGAATGTATATGTGTTGTGAAAAACGAGTGACTTATTCTAATGGAACCATGATCTGTGAGAGGTGAATAACTCAATTGCAAAATCTGGATTTTGGGGCTTCTGACCATTTTTGGATAATTAAACGTGCACTGGGTCAAATTGACCCACGAATATTATTGCTGTTACAAAAAACGAATATAACAGTTAAGCGTACTCCAATTTTGCAAAAAACGTGAATTCATATTTCGTGTGTACTCTTGACCTTAAAGGGTCCCTGGGTTTTTTAATGAATCAAATGTTGTTTATCACTGCCGTAATCATATTTATCCTACCTCATTAGCGAAATTATTCAAACTTTTTGGAACTATTTATTTTCACATTTTTGTCAAGAGCTACAGGACATGTATGCTACATGAAAAACGTGGAGTCATGCAACCGTGATTTGGTTTGTTGTATAGCCTAAAGATAGATTTGTACCTCTGGCGATAGCATTTATACTTCTAAAATCAGAAGATTCAAGATTCAAAGGCTTTATTGTCATATGCACAGTAGCTACAGTGTAGATCAGGCAATACAAATCTTAAGTCCCAGGTTCCTCAAATAATGCAACATAAATATATATAAGACATAAAACAAGGAAACAAATAAAAAAACAATAAAAATAGTGCAATAAGGAACAGAGCAGAAAATAAATAGTGCAAGAGAATGTTGCAAGACTAATATTCAAATAATGCAGAAGAAGTTAAATATATAAGTTAAAAAAAAATGGTGAGCTAAAAATATAATGTCAAATCAAATACTGTAAAGTGAAATAAAATACAGCTTATTGTAATAATAAATTCAAACGGATAAAGTTCTGATGAGATTATCCTTCTGAATAAAACCTGTTAAGTATCACAAACATGTTGCCTTGGCCACAAAGCTTATTTTCTTCAATATACCAAAATCCAATGGGGAATTCCCATTGCTTTTCACCTCTTGCGAACACCTGTGTCATCACTGCACCACTCTATAACTCATGGCTACTTACCAGCTACCTGTGCATTCATTTCAAGTCTTCCACAAGTTAATTGCTTTATAGCTGTGAGCACTAACAGTTACCATGTTAAATTATTTATTTCATCATGATACGACTTTTGGAGCTGGTGTTGTCAGCCACATTTGATTGGAACAGAGTTGGCAATATTCTATAAATCCAGTTTTCTCTTGCTCGCTTCTCCAATATTAAACACCCTGGCTTAAAGAATTGATATAATATAAATACAATAGATGCTTTGGATCAGATTTAGCTACTATTTACTTATTTACTACTATTTGCTACTACTGATTTCAGCCCCTGGTATCAATTTATATAGGACATATTGTGCACATTTTCCGGGTTGTATTTGTATTTAGTGCCTCAACTGTGACATGTTTTTATGCTTTAATGTTCAAAAAGCTCTTTATTTTTCTCATACTGCCTGTGCTGCAGCACCTCTTTTCACCCTTTGTCTGAAACCAGAGCTCAGTCTGCACTGATTGGTCAGCTGGCCAGCTCTGTTGTGATTGGTCAACAGCTTAGAGGTGTGTCAAAAATGTCCCTCCCCTTAGCCTGTCACATACAATGTGTTGGAGCGCTAGCAAATAGATGTGCGAGTCTTGCATAGTGATGTCACTATGAAACATAATTAAATAAAGGATTCCAATGGAGGTGTTTTGGGCAGGGAGGAGTGTGAGGGAGAGAAACTCCTTCTGGAGGGAACACAGGGATTTTAGCCTTTGCAGACCATTTACATGCAAAAACCTATAAACACACTACAGGGAAGGGAATAACCCATTAAAGGTAGGTAGGTAAGTTTGAGAAACCGGCTCGAGATACACTTTTTGTTATATTCCATGGAATGCTCTTAACATCCCGATAGCAATGAATATCTTAAGTGCTTTGACAAAAAATCCATAAAAAAATGTCATCTGTGGAAGCCGTAGTACTGTAAAAAGCACGACCAATCATTTTAGCCGGCCCGGCTAAAATAACTGGATGGCCTACCTGCCTGTCAGCTTTCCATCTGTGCACAAACTTATCTCGTGCCCTCATTGGTCATGTGCGCGTTCGTGTGTGTTGGAGGAGGGGCTCTGTAAGGAAGTGGCAGATTTTCTCCGGTTGTGTATTTTCAAATTCTAGCGATCCCGAGCTGGTTTCTCAAACTTACCTACCCTACCTTTAAGCATTATAGGGCCCCTTTAAATTCAAGAATGAACTCTCACTCTCCTAATTCCTGGATTACATTACATTAAACATAACAACAAAAACACACATAGTCGATATTACAACAATATGATCATGCCCAAACGTGCCTTGAGCCAGAATATTATGAAAGGCACCGTTTTGGTCTCCATAGAAAATGTTCCCGTTCATGACAACTGCAATGACGGTTCATTATTCAATATGACTTAGGCGTTTAATTTATGTTTTGTCTTAAAGTGAAGCACAATGAAGGGCTTGGCTGCTGTGATTGACAGGTGGGTGCCCTCACAGATTGATAGCTGCTAACTTCTAGCTGGGCATTGCGGCATTGTATGAAGAATTGTAAAATGTAAAGCTATCCTAAGAGAGGATCGTCTTTGGAAATGTAAGGTTAACTTCACATATCATTATGAGAAGTCTTCCTTCCTCCATCTGCGGTTGCAGCCTGACTCCGCCCTCTCTCTTTGAACAAATTGTTTTGGTGTAAGAAAACTTTTTCTGTTGTGCCTTCAGGCAATACGGTGTCCACGAACACAATCGTATAATTATTCAATTGCAGTGTGTAGGTTTCAAGTAAACGCAAAAACCTGTATAACTGTTATAACTATGTAACGAATGCATGAGCTTGAAGATCACAGAAATTGCTCCCCTAGGCATGTCTACTGAAGTATTGAAGTGTATGTAAGACGCTTTGGATAAAAACTTCAGCTAAAGAAGAAAATTGTAAAAACACGCACACATTCTCTATAACACACACAAACATACTTTAATTATCAGCAGCTGCTCACACCTGGACTTAATCGGTAAAATTATAAACACTTCATATTGATATATAAACATTACAGTGTAGACAGGTTCTACAGCAGTAAAATGTGGTTATGGTTCTCCTGCAAATTGTTGACTTACTTAACTTTGTTGTTCTTTTTAATTCAGGATGTGGTCACACACAACATCCAGTCATCCTACACACAAGGTACATATTCTTTCTAACAGTTGCATCTGACACATCTCTGTCTGACTTTGAAGACTCAATCTTTTGTTTCAAAATCAGGCCTGTTTGGTCTTGACGTTGCTGGCAGCTCCCCAGCAGCAACAGCGCCTGCAGTGGGAGATCTGCAACAGTTTGCAGGATGGAGATCTGCCCCACCTGCCCCCAGTGCTGGCCTGCATCCTGCTGTAGCACCCTGGGCTTCTTCTGACTTCAACCAGCAGGACCCTTCAGCCCAGACTCTGGCCTACGCACCGACCCCCACCCGCACTGCTGATGTGTACATGCAGACTCTATGTCCAAGCTATACCATGCTGACCTACACACACACACCACTGCTCACTAACTTTGGGGTGAGTAGGATGAACCTTTGAATGTGTGCTCAAAGTTTGGTATATTTATTATGTCAAAACAGACTTTCTCCAAAATATGACTTAACCCATGTAGCTTGATCCTTGTTATCAACCAACATACAGACAAAGAGGCTTTGTTAGTTGGTAAACTACATTTCCCAGCAGCTTCATTTCATTAAATAAATGTTACCTGTAACAAGCTTTATTGTCCATCCATGAAAGGTGGCAGCAAATGCTACATCATTACCTTTATTTTTTCTTGACTTAAAAAACACTTCACTGCATCCTGCAGTCTGTTGGTTCGCCAAAAGCTAATGCTTTGTGAGCATTGTCATTAGTAGCACCAGGGATGTAGGAATAATAATTCAGACATGAACTAGCACTTTGGTCACTGTAGTTAGCTCATAAATGTTTCTCCTTGTCAAGGTTACTTTAATGGATTTTTGTTAGAAGCCTGAATAAAGGTATGTGGTTAACATAAGCTTAAGTTATTCTCATGTTTAGTTTGAGATCAAATACATAAAACACGTAAATACCCTGATTGTGAATGTCTGAAGCTTTTAAGAGACATAAAAATAGCGGTTGCTAACAAGTGGCTAAATGTGACAACTCAACGTCATCATGTCGAACATGTGGAGATTATCCTGCCAAACCAAATAAAGAATGAAAGTAAACTTTATATGTATCATAAACGTGTGTTTGCCACAGAGCTTATTTTTCTGCGATATTCCAAAATCCAATGGAAAAATCCCTTTGACTTTTTGTCGAGGGAGCCCTTTGTGACGCTAATTTCCAGGTCGGCCTACACAAAGATGTCATGCCAAATATGTCATATGTATGCTTAACAGTGTTGGGTGTAACGCGTTACAAAAGTAACGGAGTTACGGCAATGTATTACTTTTTGCTGTAACGAAGTAATGTAACGCATTACTAATGAAATTTGGGTAATATACTACCCGTTACAATTCTCAACACATCTTAACCCGAAATTAAATGTTTTTTAAGAATTCACTAACATCGCGAGACATTCCGACACCAGAGAAAATTGTGCGGGTAGATTAGTAAGCCTGGTGTTTACCCTTCGGGCTCATCAAGATCCCTCCGCTTTGCGTCGGGTTCCCTGATCAGCCTAAAGAAAAACATGTTTTCCAAAAGAACTACGCATCTCTTGAATGACAATATGCCTGCACTGCACCTCCAAGGTGCGCAATACACTGCGCGAGCCGAGATGATGTGTGTGTGCTTAGTTGAACCTTTTCATATTTAAGTGTGTAGCAAGTTGAGGGCGGCTGCTGATGTGTGTGTGTGTGTGTGTGTGTGTGTGTGTGTGTGTGTGTGTGTTTGTGTGTGTGTGTGTGTGTGTTTGTGTTTGTGTTTGTGTGTGTGTGTGTTTGAGTGTGTTTGAGTGTGTGTGCGTGCGCGCACGCGTTAGTTTTAAAGACCCCCCCCATAGAGCTCAGTTTATAACTCGAACCCTGACCAAGCCGTGTAATAAAAGTTGTTAGTAGCCTTAATGGCCTACACAGTTGTTATGCTATACCACATTGCCCTTCACTGGATGTATAATGAGCTGCACTAAACTACATTTTAGCATTTAAAATACCTAGCCATTCTTTTGCAGTTATTTTGGTAAGTAACTCAAAAGTAATATAAAAGTAGTGTAACTCATTACATTTCAGAGACAGTAATATTGTAATATATAAAACATACAGTAATAAGTCATATGTACTGTATCACATTTTGGAAGTAACTTGCCCAACACTGATGCTAAACCATGATATTTTTTTTCTAACCCTAAGTATTTTTATTGTGCCTAATCATGAAAAAGTAAAATGTTTGTGCGTTTATTTTTGTCACGATCTGACACACCAGTTTCCTGTTTTAGTTTGAAAATTCTTCAAGACTGTTATGACTCTTTTTACTTCCTGTCTCTGTTTTCCCTCCTGTTTGATTACCTGATTCTGTTCACCTGGTGCCTTTATCTTTCCTCCCCAGCTTTCTTGTCATTGTGATTAGTCTATGTATTTAAGTTCTGGTTTTTGTTGGTGGTGGTCTGATCCTCGTATTTCTTATGTGGAAGTGGGCAGTGGCGTTTCTATGTGTACAAAACTGGGGGGGCAGAGAGAGGTGGGGGAGAGAGAGAGAGGTGGGGGGAGAGAGAGAGAGGGGGGGGACAGAGAGAGGGGGGGGGAGAGAGAGAGAGAGAGAGAGGGGGGAGAGAAAGAGGGGGGGGACAGAGAGAGGTGGGGGGGAGAGAGAGAGAGGGGGGGACAGAGAGAGTTGGGGGGGAGAGAGAGAGAGAGGGGGGGAGAGAGAGAGAGGGGGGAGTGTCAAATTACATACTGAAGACCACACGGAGCAACACTGTCAGCGCATACATTTACGTACACTGTGTACGTAAATGTACGGTACACAGCGTGGGGATGTCATATTGTAATGCACCTTAATACATAAGTAAAGGGCACCATCACAAAGCAATTCTTAACAACAACAACAACCACCATAATGCTTTAGCATTAAAACACCATAGACTGTAAATATAAGGAAAACACAGACACTCATCACCGAGGTCACAATATCAATCGATCCAGCAGAGGCAAAACACAGAAGATCAACAAAATATATGACATAAATGAACTTACCAAAGCTGAAGGCTCACTTGAAAAGAAAAGCGGCACGGCGGTCCTTCCTCTGACAGAATGTTTCTATCACTTTGGGGATGAAGTCCTGTAGTTGCTGGATCAACTGGCTTTCAATTGAAAGCATGGCCAATGCGTTAAGTCGCAGCTGTCCCATGGTGTTGCGAGTGAAAGTCTTTATCCTTTTGAGGGTGGAAAAGTTCCTCTCTGACTCGGATGTCGTCATCGGAGTTGTTACTATTATTTTGACCAAAATAACAGTCTCAGCAAACGTATCCTCCAAGTTGTTCTCGTGAATGGATTTCAACAGAGACAGGGCAGTGTTTCCAGTGTGAAGTTCACTGTGGCGGTAGAGCGTGGTCAGCTCAGACTTCAACTTCTCCTTGTTTCCCAAAGCAGGCCACAATTTCACTGCGCAGTCAAGCTCAGGTGTAGGAAATGACAGGACATGCTGTGGGAAGAATGAGCTGTCAACGAGCTTTGCAGCGATCAAATGGTCACTCTGTGAGAACCTCTGTTCCACCTGTGAGATGACTGTGTCACATGCCTCCTTCATTACCGGCGCTGTGCTGCTGACTCGTCGGCCTGGCTCGTCTGTTCCATCATGAGTGGTGGCGGCCAATGCATCAGTTTGCTGCCTCATTTTCTGGACATTTTCCTTGAAGCGGCAGAGCGCGCTGTTGATCCCAGGTGCATCGATGGTTCGTTTTTGCAGAGTGTTGTATAAAACATCCACTTCTGGCATAAGCAACGAAAAAAACTCCAGGAGCTGCATAAATGCTCGGTCCCGCAGTTTCTTTGACAGGCCGTATGCCTCACTTATGGTGACCGCATCCCATCCTGGTTGTGTGCGTATATGGTCCATACACTGAAGAAGTGCTTCTCGGGTCTCCCAAACCGCGTTCACAGTTCTGCTTTTAAAGTTCCATCTCACAGCCGGTGGCCGTGGTATGCGTCTCTGTGTTGCCTCTGCAAGAGCTGCAACACGTTTTGGAGCACCGGAGAAAAAAGTGGAAAAAGCAGTTAGATCTGCAAAAAACACCTTCAGGATGCTCATCCTTGCTGAACACAGTTGCTGCAGGGTCAGGTTCAGTTGGTGGGCGTAGCAGTGAACAAACTGAGCGTTTGGGTACGTCTCCTTCATGACCGTCTGTACCCCGCGCACGTTACCGCTCATGACGGCCGCCCCGTCATAGGTCTGAGCGATTAGCTTTTCTTTCAGCTTCAGGGGTTCAAGAACAGCCTTGATGCTGTTAGAGAGACCTACACCAGTTTTGTCCTTTACTTCCACAAACTCCAAAAAACGCTCTGTAACTGTGAGGTCAGGCATAATGTATCGCAGCACAATCACCATTTGCGATTTACATGAGACATCGGTTGTCTCGTCGGCCTGAACGGCAACAAATGATGTGTTGTCCACTTGCTTGGATATTTCCTCCCTGTACACATCATACATGCAGTCCAAGAGTTCATTCTGTATGGTGCTTGATGTCCCTTTGAAAACGGGCTGAGCTTCGTAGTGCCGTCGAAGCCTGGAATCGCCCTCACACATTGTCTCGAAAATTGACCTGAATATCCCTGGATTCAGAGAGTCCGCCGACTCGTCGTGGCCCCGCAGTGCTGTCTCACATTTCCCACACAGTTTAATACAGGTGATGATCCGACCCAACACGTACCTGTTTTCTTCCACCTTTCTATTATGATCATCAATGCCGCGTCTGTAGGCGCTGTCAATCTGAGCTGCAACATTCACCCTTCCCAGTAATCCCAATTTTACGGCATTTTCCAAGTGACTGTTGCTGCTCTCATGCTTCATTGTCCTCTCCGAAAGATGCTTTAAGTCCTTGTAACCTGTCCTCGACCAAGTACCTTGATCTTCACCAAAAAGCAGGCAAGGAAAGTAAAAGAGGGAATTCTTCTGGATGCTCGCCGTTAGCCATTTCTTTTTAGCAAACCACTCAGCATTAAACCCGCGGTTCACTTTGCCCGCAGTCTGGACCATTTGGAAATCCGGTGGATGGTGGGCACCGAGGCGCTTTACCTCCAGTTTCTCTCCGAGACTAAGTGTCTCAAATGTGTGCTCCAGTAAATGGTCAACTTCATTCATTTTCTTTCCGTTTTTTACTTATTTTTAATCGCTGGTGATGTTAGCTATATGCTGCTCTCTCGTCTTCTCTTCACACTACACGTGACGTTTCGCAGCACTGCACACGTGACATATTTACAGTCAATCAGTTCTGAATAATGTGAGCTGACGTATGGTGGGGATGGCAGCTCCGTGCCCCTTTGGCCTTTTTTTTTTTGCCACACACATTCCATTGAAAAATACTCTGAGCATGCGCAGTGTAGTTTTTACAGTCACCGTTCACTTAAACAGTGAGAGGGAGGGGCAGAATCAGGTTTTGTCCCACATGGCTCAAAACGGCACTGTAGACACTAATTAGAAGAACACAGACTAAAACAGCAATGTACAGACGAATCAGATGATTAAACATGACCTTAAAATATATTTTATATATTTTTTTATTTCTTTTTTTGCATCTTTTTGCATTTTTTGTTTTCATTATGTGTAATACTTTCTGCTGACACTAGGTGGGGCTGTGCCCCACCTGCCCCTAATGACCAGTCGCAACTGGAAGTGGGTAATGTACTGTAGAGTTCTGTTAACTTTGTTTCGCCTGGCCTTGCCCTGCGCTACCTGAATAAAGGTATTTTCTGTTGAACCATTGTCTGTCCCATTTGGGTCCACTCTGCTCTAAACCGTGACAAATTAGTTTGTATTTCAATTGAGAATATTAGCCTGGTTTAAAACAGTGACCAGGGGGAAAATTATTTCACAAATGTAAAAGAAAGAAAAATAATTGTCACAAACGAAAACGTAACGAATTTCTTAGAACTGATCGATAAAGCACAAGCATTAAAGATGTGATTCATTAGCAGTTATTAAAACAATTAGCAACAGCTTAAATAAGAAAGCTGGATGATCGATCACCCTTTTGTGCTTGGCTCAGTTAAAAAAGCTCTTGAATTCTCCAAAGGTTTTTGTCTCTGCTCGTTTTAGTTCCTTTGCATACATTAAAATGTTATTTGTTATTTTTCAGCCCATACCTGTGGCCCCAGCACAAGGCTCCCTCCCGCAGATGGAGCTCCCAGACTCGGCGCTGACCTACCTCCCCTGGGCCCAAACTGGGGTCCAGTTTGCCTCCGGCTCCTCAGCCCTGCATGGGTCCCCTCTGGTCCACATGCCGCTGTCCATGTCTCTGGCCACCATGTTCCCTCAGCTGGAGGCTCAGGGTTTACATCCTCCTCAGCCACAGATACTGGAGATGCCCCAGCGCTCAGAACACCAACTGGACCCTGAGCCACAGGATGATGAAGGTCCAGGGGCGGAGTCAGAGTCACCAAGTCTTCTGGATAAACTTCTGGAGGAACAAAAGGGTGAAGGCGAAGAAGAGGACAAAGACTCGTACAGCAGCTCGATTTTCATTCCAAATGTCTGAAAATATAAGCAATCTGTTGTCCATAGTGAGCAGCATCTTTGTCAACATTAAACAATATACATATATGTTTTTACAACTTAAAGGGGACCTATCATGCAAAATGCACTTTTGTACGTCTTTTATACATGAATATGTGTCCCCGGTGTTCCAGGGAACTCACCAAGTGTCAGAAAACACAACCCTCTCTCTTTTCCTCCATACCCAAATCTCTAAAAAAGGGGCTGCAACGGATCTGATCAAAACTGATCCAGATTTGAACACTGTCCTGACGTCAGGACAGTGGCGCTACGGCTATTGGGCCAACTCCACCAATCAGGAGGAGACAGCCACGGCCATTGCCGTTCGAAAGCGCTGGAGACGCTGTAGTACATATGCCAGGCCTGTAGATGGTGCTGTTCTCACAGAATCTGCCCTTACAAAAACAGAGCTAAAAAATGTCAAATTGAGCGAAATGAGGCATGGCTAAAATGCATGATCTCTTTGGTATTTTGGAAAAAAAAAAGTATAAATATGCCTTACATAGGTATGGTCCTACACTATATTATTCAAATATAGCATGATAGGTCCACTTTAAGTAAGTGGGCAATTCCTCCCTGAATCCAATACAACTCAAGATATTCTGTTGATTTGTAACACCTTTTTGTTGTTGTAATATGCACCACGAAAAACATATCAAATGGTAAATTATATCAAACTAATGGAAGTTTTTTAATGTTTTAAGATATTTTATAAATGCTGTGTAAGATGTAAATACTTTTCTTATCCTATACTTGATAAGTGTTGGCAGCTGTTTCCTTTTTGCAGCTAAACCTGTCATTGAAAACAGGAAAGATAGCTATTGTCACGGTTAATAGGAGTTACAGTATGTTGCAGTTTTCTGAGAAACAGTCACAGTGTTGTTCATCTTCTCAAAGCCTTTAGGTGTTTGCTTTACTGATAAAATCTTTCAATAGCTGTTTCAGTTGGGAGCCCGGAGAATGTTTTTACTAGATGATGATTTGGACCAGAGGAAGAGCAGGGCTTCTTGTTCGAGCAAGTTGACCACAGAGGAAGAAAGGTTCAATCGAAAACACCTACTGACCATCAGTATTTGTCTGTACCATCAGAAGTATTAAACAGCACAACATGGATTTTTTTTAACAGAAGGATATATAATGAGAAAAATGATTAGGAGCAGGTTAGGAAACACCATGGATTTGGGATTTCTGTATTAAAGAATAACAGATTTCAGCCTTCAATAGTCAATTTTGGAGTTAACAAAGACCACTGAACACATGAAAGTTCAATTGAAACGGAATAATGCTGGATCTTTATGTCAAATGTCAAATAACATATTGCAGATTTGTTCTTCGATTCACCCGAAAGCAATTTGCAACAAAGGTGCCATGCAAAAAACGTAATTTCTATAAAAGAGATTCAGCACATTGTCTGGTGGGGAAGGATAAGACAGGGCAAATCAAACAATTATTATAGTAAAAAGCTAACCGACTGTTAAAATATAAGGAAGTGTTTCTGCTTTTTTAAAGTTGTTGTTCAAGCACAAATTTAAAAGGAAGTGTATTAGTTCATTAGTTACAACAGAGTGCATTTTACCTTTGACTATAGGGTGAGTATTATCGTCGTAGGCCTACAAGTCTCGGGTTTTTCCCGAGGGGAAACTGACATTGTGAGAGGGGATGCAATGCTCTGTGACATTCCACACCTGGAAACACCTGAGATCGTATCAGGGGGGAAAAAACGTGCCGGGCCTGCTCCTGTGATGGGAACATGTGAAAAGATTTTACCTTTGGCTCTGTTTTCTTCATGCAGAATTGTGAAAACAAAACACATGTCATGAGTTGGACATGTCAATTGAATTGTCATGCTTAATAGGTTTGCATGAATTCCAGGTTTCTGAGTTCATGATTTTATCTAAGAATGAACGTAACTAACTCAAGTTGTTTCTTTCGAACATTACTATACAGTAAAATACCATGGCAGCATGTGAAATGTCATTAAATCTAAAAATACGTTATGTATATCTTGTGTAAGCTTTTTCAACACATCACTCATCATTTACTCAATCTCGGTAAAGTGAATGAAAGACGGAGCAGTTGGCCCTCGGTTGCTTCCCTGAAACTGTTTCTGTTCACATCACCTTAGGGGGTTTCAGTCATCAGGAAATATAACCAGCTTGGCAAGATAATTTCATGTAGGACACTTAGCTTAGAGTTAATATTCTCAGTCCAGACTTTATTCTACTTATTTTTAGTGTGTTTGCTTAATAGTTTATGCAAATGAAATCAACTCAGGCCTGCAGTTTCTTACGAAGGCCCCACGTGTTGATCACAGAGAGTCCCTTTAACACTAGAACCGCCAGAGATTTTTTATACCTAAAACCGCCACCTGGGTCAAATTGACCCGCTATTAGAATGCATTGATTTTCAAGGTAAAATGTTCTTTTATTGAACAGTGAGTTTTGATCGCACAGGGATGAAACGTATACCAATATAATCTGTGGACTCTCGGGGCTCGACATTATAAATGACCCGCTGGCCCGGAAGCATTATTTAGACACCGCGGCCAGCATAACGTACTTTCAACTCGCCCCACAGCTGTTTGCTGCGGAGCGCAGCGCGAGCAGTCTCCCGTGAGCGGGAGCGCACTCCTTCACTACAGACTGTCTCTATCTCTCTCTCTCTCTCTATCTATAACTATCTATCAATATATCTATCTCTCTCCCTCTCAATCTATCTCTCAATCTATAAGGAACCGCAGTAGACAAAAGGCGTTGCTATAGCAACACGTCATGTTTATATGAAAAGGGGTGGGGTCAATATGACCCGCTTGGCGGAAATAGGTATAAATGGCAATTTTTTGGGCGATTTCTTCAATCTGACTTCATATTGACAATTTTTAACAACATAGGGTGCTACATAACACACTTTCAGGAAAAGTCACGGACTGGAAGACTTTAATATTTGATTGAAAAAAAGTTACACACAATAAAAAACAGCTCTGGGTCAAATTGACCCCATTGGCGGTTCTAGTGTTAACCTGTTAATAGCCCCTGCCGGCGGGGGCTATTGGAACAATTTTCGCGAAACTGTGTCTCAGGGCTTCTTAACATTCAACAACCTATTAACCTGTTAAGCCCCGAGCCTGATTTCCAGGTCTCAGGCTCGAAAATGACATTCCCAGAACACATGACTATAACTTCACTTGACATTTGACCTCAAAGGTGGAATCTGACTTCAAAGGCTGTAACACTAGGAATATGTGGGCGGGACTAAGGACAATGACTGACTACAAAGGAGCAGCGGGGGGTGCTGCGGGAGTGTCTGCGTGCGCATCTCTCCCAGATGAGCTAAATAGTTTTTTTGCACGCTTTGAGAGCAGCCAGGCTGTGGAGGTACAGAGGGACCAGGAGCTACACTGCCCTTTTGTTTTAAATAGGGCAGATGTGTGTAAATCCTTTAAAAGGGTTAACCCACACAAGGCTCCTGGACCTGATGGCATCCCTGGCCGTGTTCTCAGGGTGTGTGCAGTTCAGCTGGCAGAGGTGTTCACAGACATCTTCAACAGGTCCCTGCTGCAGTCTGTAGTCCCCACATGTCTTAAACACTCCACCATCATTCCTGTCCCCAAAAAGACAATCATCACCTGCCCCAACGACTACCGCCCAGTAGCACTCACCTCCATCATAATGAAGTGCTTTGAGCGGTTAGTCAAATTATTCATCACCTCCTCCCTCCCTGAATCTCTGGACCCCCTGCAGTTTGCCTACAGAGCAAACAGGTCCACAGACGACGCCATAGCCCTCACCCTCCACACTGCCCTCTCACACCTGGACCCGAAGAACAGGAACACATATGTGAGAATGCTGTTCATTGACTACAGTTCAGCATTCAACACCATTGTGCCCTCCAAGCTGGCCATCAAGCTCAGAGACCTCGGGCTCAACAGCGCCCTCTGCGACTGGATCCTGAACTTCCTGACGGGCAGACCCCAGGCAGTGCGGGTGGGAAACATCACATCCTCCACCCTGATTCTTAACACCGGTGCCCCTCAAGGCTGCGTGCTCAGCCCTCTCCTCTACTCCCTGTTCACCCACGACTGCGTGGCCACACACAGCTCCAACACCATCGTGAAGTTTGCTGATGACACGACCGTCATCGGCCAGATCACAGACGATGACGAGACGGCATACAGAGAGGAGGTCGAAAACCTGACATCTTGGTGCCAGGAGAACAACCTCCATCTCAACATCAGCAAAACAAAGGAGCTGATTGTGGATTACAGGAAGCAGCAGGGAGAGGGACACGCCCCCATCGCCATCAATGGGACTACGGTGGAGAGAGTCAAAAGCTTCAGGTTCCTTGGGGTCCACATCACTGAGGACCTGACATGGTCTCTTCACACCACCACCATCACCAAGAAAGCTCGACAGCGGCTCTTCTTCCTCCGCAGGCTGAGGAGGTTCAAAATGGATTCCAGGATACTCTGCAACTTCTACAGGTGCACGATAGAGAGTATCCTCACTGGCAGCATGACGGCCTGGTACGGCAGCTGCACCGACCTCGATCGTAAGGCTTTACAGAGGGTGGTGAAAACTGCACAGCACATCACCAGGACGGAGCTGCCATCCATGGAGGACCTTTACTCCCAGCGGCTCAGGAAGAAATCACTACGGATTATCAAAGACCCCCATCACCCCAGCCACAAACTGTTCTTTCTGTTGCCGTCTGGCAGACGTTACCGCAGCATCCGGGCAAGGACAAGAAGATTCGGAGACAGTTTCTTCCCGCGGGCAGTGAGACTGTTAAACAATTGAACTGTTGAAACAACATCAAACATTCAACTGCTACTCAGTAGTATGTATCTAATACCTAATATATATATATCATTCCAATAACTTGTATATAGACTCATACTGCACTATTCCACATCATAACTTTATTTCATTTTTATAACTATTATTATTTTTGTATTGCTCTTGCTCTTATTGTTATTATGTTATGTTATTATGTTGCATTGTTGGAGAAGCCTGTGACATAAGATTTTCAACTGCATAATTACTCTGTAGCTATGTCAGATTGACAATAAAGAACCTTGAACCTTGAACCTTGACCTTTTTAGAGAAAAAACTTCTGGGGTCATTTGGGTGG